TAACACAATTCAAAGGAAAGCAAGAACTTAAGGATTAAACAATGAAGAGAGGGCAAGAGAGGGCAAATGTTTTGCCCAAGACAGGGGCAAAACCATACATTTATATGCACAAGATGGTTAAGGCAATGATCCTGAGACTCTTCAGCAGGTTTCTGAAACTAGCAGTTAATTGGTAGGATTCTCACCCCGACCAACCATAAATGCTGATATCTGTGAACTAAACAACTGCACTGAAGATAGCAATGTGTAATGGTAGGGTCATGCTTGAAATGCCTGTCATTCTGGTCTTCTACATATATAATGTTTGTCATGTCATATCAATTATTGCTATACTGTCTCTCAAGTAAATATTTGTTTAGAAAAGGATAATAAATAAAAACAAAAGACAAGAAAAAATGTCATAGGACTGTTCTGCTACAATGCTGTATATGGTTAGATTTCTAAATTTCTGTGTAAAAATATAATTGTTCATTCCTATTTTTTAAAACTATTTTTCTTTTTTTTCTTCACATTCTGTAGGGATTTAAAGCTTAACATATCAATACTTGATTGAAAATACCTGTTCTATGTTATATCTTAAGATTTTTGATATTCAGACAGATAGTGAGGTTAAGCTCACCTGCTTGTTTCATAGGTAGTTTAATAATATCATTTTAATAACATCAATAAACTTCTCTCCTGGAGGGTTAATAATTTAAGTTTGCTGACCAAAGATTAGAGAAAAAGAAGGGCTGCAAGGACAGCCAACATTTTGGCCCTAGCCTTTCAAGGTCAGTGAGGACTCAGGACATAGGAGAGCCTGTACTGTAACATCATGTAACTCAGTGATGTCCCAAATTTTATGATCAAGGAGATTATAGGGCCACAGAGGAAAGTGACCAACAATGTAGAGTGTGCCTAAGGAGCGCCACATGGAGAGAAAACATTCTCTCAGGCTTTCACAGAGAGCAAATTGGTCAAGCAATGACTGTGACTCACTCACATGGCTGACGCTGACAAAGGATCTACAATCTGAGGTACAGGGTTTCAGGGTAAATCCTGAGGGTATTTGACTGACCTTGTCAGATATAAAAGTTACACTTCTTGTTATATATGCCTTGCTTTAGCTTGGTCTTAACCATCCAACAGAAAAGTATAAAAACAAAGTATAAAAAGTAAAGCCATATTAATATGCTGAGCTATGAAAGGCTCAAGTCAACAACTTCTGACATTGCCAGTCCTGTGGATAACCCACTATTATGGACTACTGGACTATATCAGATTGTTTTGCTGAATTCACACACCTACAATATTTAAATGGCAGTGGAATACTCATCTCTGACAAAACTGAACAAAAAAAGGGGATACAAAGGAAGGACCATTTTGTATCCGTATATACAAAATAGTTAGGATAGATATATAGCTACTTTCTCTTAATTCAGTAAGAAGAAAGATTTGTACTAGTAGTGATTAGACAGGATATCATGTCTACATCTTGTACTATGAATAACCGCTATGAAGACAACATATGCAATGTACTAATTATTGAAACTGTCCTACTAGTTGGTTTTGAAACTGTCTCATTGCTATTTATTTCTGAATAAAATTAATAAAAAAGACTTTAATTTCTTCTAAGGTTTATGCTATGATAAACCTAATTTTAGGACTCTCCTTTGTTATGTATGTGCTATAATAATATTATAAAGCGGCAGTTGTACAATAAACATCTTGATTTGGTAACACTAAAAATTCTATAATTTACTTGCTGAATAATGAAATGTTGTATAAGATGATAATAGTCATGATAATAGCAGATTTTATTGATGACTTATTCTGCAATGAGCACCACTTTAAATATTTTATATGCATTAACTCATTTTAATCCTCATAAAAACTTTATGAAATATGTTGTTATTTATAAATCAGAAAACTAAGTGAAAAAGGTTAAATAATCCACTTCAAGTCATACAGCTGAGTGGTGCACTGCAAATGGCAGAGTCCAGATTCAGACACTTGCATTTTGGCTTATTGTTTTTTACTTCAATGTATTTTAAAATGTAAGTAAAGCACAGAGAAACATAAAAGTGCTTGTCATCTCACTGAATTCACACAGGCAAATTCTATGTTTTCAAAGCCAACTGATGTTTGTATCTGATAGTTCTTAGTGGGTCTGAGCCGTGTCCTCTCCTGCTCTCCCAGGACCAAGGGTAGATGGATAACTCAGAAGCTAAGCTACGTCCTTCCTGTGAACACGGATGCCTGAGTCCTTTGCACCAGTAGCTAAAGACACCAGCACAGAGCTGCCAGGAATTCGCTGCTGCCAGCAATGAGGTGAGGACAGACAAGTGCCACCACACATGCTCGGGACAGGGGTAGCCTGCCCTCCAGATGTTTCCTGCCCTCTCCCCTTTCCAATTCCAGGATCCCACTAGTCTCTAGGCCAGGCATGCTCTCTTCAGTGCTGGTCCCATCACTAGTACAAAATACCCAACACCTGCAATGGAAAGGGAAAGGAGCTTGTAGTGGCTCATGGTTTCCAGAAGTTCGGTCCATGGCTGGTCAGCTCCCACATGAGAACAGCATGCCGGGAGGCAGGGCAGAAGAAAGCCACTCGCTCCATGGCAGTCAGGAAGCAGAGGAAGAAAGGAGGCATGGGCTGGGAGATGCAGCCTGTGAGGGCACAGCGGCCGCCCAGCCCTCCAGGCCTTGCCTCCGACTGCACGCTCAGCCACACACTCGCCAACACTCAGCACCCTCGATGAGCAGAGTTCCAGTACCGCATGGTATTAAGCCTTGGCTGTACCAGCACTGGTAGGAAGATCACAGCAAAATCTCAAGAGCGGTGCTGTAGTCATACTATGTGACTTCCCACCCTGTTCCATCTCAGTGTGGCTTCCGCACCCTACACCTTCACCTTCACTCTTCTACATCTTCAGCTTGTGCCAAATCAGTGTTTTCACTTTCTCCAGCACACACGATTGTTTCCACTTTTAAATTTCCTCCAAAGTCATGCCATTTTCCTAAGACAAAGTCTCTTTGCTATTATTCCTATTCTGTAGCCCTTGAAGGACATGGGATATAAAAGTAAATAGCCTTATTGGAAAGCTAGATACTCCATAAATGGCTGTTCAAGTGGGAGCTCCACAAATGCATCCGCACATCTGAGATCCATACAGACTAAATATATAGATATATAGACAGTTTAATCGTAGAAATAGTTGGAACATAATTTCATGGAATGTGTGAGTTATTCTAATTAGTGGAAAACTGGAACACACACAATTGCATGGGTGAAAAAAAATTGAGCCAAACAAGTTATTTTTAAAACTATCTGGAAGAATCTAATAGAATTAGACCTATTAATATCTCGAAGAAAATATTTAGGAAGGAGAACTATGAAAAGTTCTTAAATATAACACACGATAAAAAATACAGTGTACATTTGTTTAAATTTTTTAAAAACTCTCATAAAAGCCACATTGCCATGAATACCCCTCAGAAAGCTTCCCACTGATTCTAACCCATTTAGTCCATCCTTCTCCCGCTTCCTGAAGCAGTTCTGAAAGTTCTCTTTTGTGAGCATCTGTAGTTGTGCTGTGGGGGCTGCCTGGATGTCTTGAATAAATGAAAAGCATTTCCCTTTGATGGTCATTTTGATTTTCGGGAAGAGCTGGAAGTCATCTGCTGCAGGAGCCCATGAGCAAGAGGGGCGCGGAGACCCCACACTGTTGCTATCAGCCTGCCTCTGTGCCGGCTCGCGTGGCAGAGAAGCAGTTGCCGTGTTTTTATCACTTATGAAGATACTCATGAAATAGGCCTTGCAGAACTGCTTCAGAAACGGGCAAGAACACTGGGAAGTGTGTTCAAAGCAACACGGAGCATTGGGGAAGTGACTCACGGCCATGTTTCATCTCTACGTGCTAAATTTTTAAAAGTTAAACATTCACCTCATTTTTCAATCACCTCTCTGAATCTTCTTTCTTTCTTTCTTTCTTTCTTTCTTTCTTTTCTTCTTTCTTTCTTTCTTTCTTTTTTTCTTCCTTCTTTCCTTCCTTCCTTCCTTCCTTTTCTTTTTTTTTTTTTTTTTCATTTGTGTATTTGGTACAGGGTCTCACTACAAAGATTGGACTTGTGGTGATCCTCCTGTATTCAGCCTCCCTAGAGCTGGAATTACAGACATATTCCACCTTGCCCGGACTCTGTCACTGGCTCAGCATGCCCAGGGGCGGGGCTGGTGTGGCATGCAGGATCTGGAATCGAACCCTGGTCCCTGAGCTTGTCAAAGCAGGCACTTTGTTTGCTGAGCTATCTGGCCAGCCCTTCTTTCATCATTTCTCAAAGATAAACAAATTAACCTTATTGGATTGCTTGCAGAAATACCTTGATTTAAAATTATAGCAAACACTACAGTACTGGATTAAATAGATGTTAGTTACTACTACTTGCAATCAGATCGGTGCAAATCTAGCTGGCTATAAGTAAAACAAACCAAAATGATACAAACCATTGTCTACTCAAACTTTGATAACAAGCTTTGTTTGAGATTTACAAATGTAGGAGATTCTTATTAATCATAAATAAAATATTAAATCATCAGTGACCTCAATAAAGGCAAAATAAAGCTTCAGGGCAATCCTGTGGATCTGTCCGTGAGGTCGGCATGGGCAGCACCATAAATCCATCCAAAGAAGCTTTCCACATACATCTTGTTACCCTCTCAATGCAGCCAGGAGCCAGGTTGGCTCCCAAACCCTGGAGTCACAATCCCACCGCATCTAATTCCTATGGCTTGGCTATAATGCAGGGCTCCCAGACAACTTAGAGTTGTTGTTGTTATTATTATTATTATTATTATTATTATTATTATTATTTTAGAAACAACAAGGTATTCAGCAGTCAGATTTAGTGAGGGAGTAGCAGAGAACAGAAAAGACAAACATCAAGTCCCAAGTAGAGAACCCTGGCAGGCGACTGCTTATACATGCGCAGTGTAAAGCTCAAGTGCACTGAAACCCACTTACCTGCCGCTAAGGTCCGCCCTGCTCCCGAAGCGCTCCTTACACAACCAACTGAGTTGCACAGGGAAACAGTGAACTCGTACGTCCTGTAGGGCTTCAGGCCTGTGACAGTGTGCGACAGCTCATGCGGCTGAGCTGTGTGCAGCAGCTTCGAGGCAAGAAAGAGTCAGAATGGTCAGCAAACAGATAATCGGTGAAAGAAACAACGTCTCGGCAGTCAGACTTCCACAAATTCAGAACGAGGGAATTATTGCCAGCTACTATTAGGAAAGGGATTTTTTAAAAAGAGTCTCAACAAGCCAGGATTTAATTGATAATTGTACAATCACACTGTTTTATGAGGTAATAATCCAGTTCCTGAGTAGATAAATGAGAAAACCAAGTTATTGCCTCATAAAGCAGCATGGTAGCATGGTTATTGTCACCAATAGTAGAGATAAAGATAGTGACACTGTCATTGTTACTGTGAGAAAGTCCAAACAAAGCCATGGGGCTTGGCCAGAAGTGACCCAAAGTAGGAATGCCACAGGCCACTTGACAACGGCACCCAAAGAGAGCGATGTCAACGCCACCATTTAATTTTTTACAAAAAGCCAGAAAAGCAAAAGGAAATGCAGATGAAGACTATCACAGAGCATCCACACAAGGCCGGCTCTGTTATCTTTCCTGTACAAGTCAGCGCAGCCAGATCTGATCAAACAGTCATAGTTTTTGAAATATTGTCTTAATCAAGCACTTTCAATTGAAAGTAGCAGATTGGAGCAAAGGCGCCAGTGAGGAACTCCATAGCCCACGAACGAGTAATTACACCCTCAACACTGAGCATCGATCCTGTCGTTATAACTCCAATTGCTCAAAAGAAGTCATGTAAATTTGCTCAGGCTGTGGGTACAAACTGTATTTAGCAAAAACGTCATTAAAGTGTGGAACACCAACTATGAATACAAAATTATTTTACATGGGGCTACTGAAAACTCCTCATGTATCACATAGTTACATTTTGGTCAAAAATGGACTAGACTGATGGTTCTGAAACATTCTGATGGGCCTGGATTACTTCTATTGTCTAATACTGCCACGAATGTGATGTCACAGCACAACAAATTGTATTTGTGGTGATGTTCAGGTAAAGAAATATGCAGGTACGGTAGCACAGTAATGTCAGTGCTTGGGAGGCTGAGGCAGGAGGATCGCTGGGAATTCAAGATCACCCCGGGCCAGCCTGTACTGCAGACCTTGTCTCAAATAAGCAAACAAAAGTACTGGGCTTCCTCCAGTGGTGTAAGAGTAAAGCCCATAATTATGTATCACACCTAATACTTGAAAATGATGATGAGTCACTACACTACAAGTTTAGGTATTTACTATATTAGACACTTAATCATTGCCTTAAAGTATACCCCTGCTATATAGTGTGCCAGTATCTTAGAGCGTTCCACATTAAAAAAAGAATACCTAGTGAAGGGGCAACCAGAGCTGTAGCCCAATGGCGGAGCACTTGCCTAGGATGGAGAAAAGCCTGGGTTCAGTTCTGCACACGGAAAGAACTACAACAAAGCAAGATGGTATGGAAACGCACAGGTGTCATTGTGACAACATATGTACAATACCTAGTCCAAGGAGAAGATCCCAAGAAGTGTTGCTTGACATGACTAAAAAGCTAGGTGACCCCAAACAGTCATCACTCATCCCACATCTAGTGCGTTTCTTGGTTGGTCTAGAGACAGCATGGAGTAGCTGATGTGCACCTTCTGGGCTGGTGCAGGTTTACTCTGCACTATCTGTACAGTGAAATGTCCTCATAATACATTTCTCAGAACCTAGCCCTGGTAGTATGCCTCTTACTGTACATTCATATAAAGTGATATTCTGTAAATAAATATTAACGAGGATAGCTATGAAGTTTAGTCACATTAAGAGTGAAATATTTTAGGGTTGGGGAGATGGCTCAGTGGAATAAATGCTTCCCTTGCAGGCGCAAGGGCCTGAGTTCAATTCTCAGTTCCACAAAAAGAAAAAAAAAGAGTAAAATATTTTGGTATTTTCCTTGTAGCAATAAAAACAATTAAACAGAATATTGGCCTAAGTATTGAAATTAAAACTTTGCAACTTACAGAGACAACAGAAAACAGTAAAAACCCTAATAAGACAAAACACCAAATGACAAACATAGAAGAAAGGGTAGCAACCAAACACCAAGTATAACTGTAAATTTATCTTGAATTTCTTAATAAAGCAGATGGATAGACTAAATTGTTTAAGCTAAAAGATATGTATTGTGTTAACTACATTTTTATCATGAGATAATTAGAAACGAATCAACATGTCTAGACTAAAAGAAAAGTACAAGGCACAATAAATTAGCTATTGACTCTTCTGTTGTCTAGTATAAGAAATAAAATTAAGTGTTATGTATACGCTTTGCCCAATAAAAGTCTTGGAAAAAAAGATGTAGGGGGTTTGCTTGTGTAGCATCCAGGTCATCCCGTACTTTGGGTTAGCCCTAAATCTGAAGGCTGGCACCTTTGTAGGAGAAATGAGAAGGGCGCACAGAAAAGGCACATGAAGGCCCTGTGGCAACAGAGGCAGAATCTGAAATTCTGTCCCCAGAAAGCTAGCAGTACCAGCAGCCCCTGCAAGCCAGAGAGGACAAGAGAGTGTCCTCCTCCGGCACAGATGCCAGGAGCAGGGCCGCATCCGCCCTTCATCCTCCCATCCTCCACAGCGCTGAGAACAGTGTTATTTTAAGCCACTCCTCTTATGAAAATCTGTCCTGGGATCCCCAGAAAACACATACCACGGAGGGAGGGGCCAAGACCTGACCCCTTGAGTCAATCTAGAGTGACCTTCAAGCTCACTGCAGCCCCGGCACTGCCACAACGTCAGCTGAGGCCACCTCTGCAGTGGCCCGGTCATTCCACACCTCACTGCCCAGCCCTGCTCCTCTGTGGGCTGGCTCTGAGCACACCCTCAAGAGGCCTGAACACAGGCGCCCCATGGGGACCTGACAGCGATGCCGGGAGCGGCCCCAGGAAGGAGACTTCAGGTGGCTGCCTGAGGGCCTCAGCGTGGCCAGAAACCAGCACCCGGGAGCCCACAGCAGAGCTCTGGCGGTGCAACTTTGAAACTTCCTTTGGCATTGGCCCCCCAACTATGGGGCCTTCTTCTGGGGAAAGTTGTAATTATCAGGACTACAGAATCAGAAGGCTTTTGCTGGTTGTTAACAATACACTCAAGAAAGACACAGAGAATCTAAAGACAATTACCAATTTTAGAGAAACTATAAAAGGCTTCTTATCCATAGCATCATCATGCTCAATAGATCAGACAACTAAGAAACAGCAGCTAGATCTGGGGCTGGTAAAACACGTGCTCCAGAGAGTGGGAGCTCAGGCTTCTAAACATTAAGAGATTTTCCACGCGAGTGAAGGTTTGAGGAACCCAAGTTGTCTGAGGCATGCTAAGAAAGCCGTGAAAGAAACCTGCAGCACTTTTCTACCACCACTGAGAAAGCACTCGAGCTGGCAGCCCTCTCCTGAGCACAAGCGAGCAGCTCCAGGCCTGTGTGCTTCCTGTCCATGTGACCCAGTGACTGCCACACTGGCATCTCCCAGACAGGAAAGGGTTTCACCAGATCCAGGCTCCAGTCCAGGCAGATAAGCCATCTGGGACAAAAGCCTTACAGAGCCTATTGTGTTGCAGGCAATTGTGACCAGAAAAGTAGTCCTAGAAAGAAATACAAAATAGGACTCTAGAGTCCAAAGGAAGGCTGCATTGTGGCGTGGAAACCCCACGCCCTTGCTAGACACTCCTGGCTTGTCACTGGGCATCGGTGAGCACACAGCAAGTCACTGGGGTGCACAAATGACATTGTAGTCCGAGCTACTTTCCTGAGTTGTGTTCCAACCCAAGGGCTTAGGGTCAGGTGTGCTCAGCAGGAATTCATGCCAAGAGAAAAGTAAATGCCTGGGATTGAGTACAGGCCCAGCCAGGAAAACCTAGGGGTTCCCTCAGGACCTCAAAGGGGAGACACTGAGTTTCATTCACAGATGTGTCATTGCCTTGGTGTCTGGGCACAAGCCAGAAAACAGGGGCTGCTGCTCAGTAGCTCCACTGAGAAGGTCCTAAAAATGGCAGCGAAAAAATATCTTCTCCACAGGCAGAACCCAAGACAGTGTGCCTGCCTGCGCACCTGTTTTACTAGACAAGAAAGTGCCTCAAGGTTATGTGTATGTGAACTCCACCTGGCAGTGGCTTGGTACGTTGGAAGAAAAGAAGACTGGAAGATCAGGAATAGGGGTTCTGGGGGACAACTGTGGAAATGGCAATAAAGTGTAAGATCTTCTTAGCTCCTATTGGTGTCCGCCAGTCCCTCAGAAGAGACACTGGGGAGACAAGAACACAGACTGGTGCATCCGGGTGACCTCGGCAGCCCCTGTTATCACCCGCTCCCACGCCGGTAAGACAGGTTATAAAGATATGATCCATCAGCCACGCATACCCACCAGAGAGAACAGGAGCCTGTCATCTTCCGTGAGGGCCCTGTGTATCAGGTGACCTAACTCAGGGACACAGTCAACCCCAGCCCCTATTAGCTATCATAGCAAGTTTCCTTACTGCTGGATGGAATGCAAATCACAAGGAGGCAAGATGTGGGTGTACGTCTTCAACCTGGAACGTGTTCATAACTTTCCTTACCACAAATGATACACTATGTTTCAGAATTGTTTCTGAAGAACTAAAAATAAAGATTTAATTACTCTGTTAACTCCCTAAAAGAATTAATACCGCAGAAATATGAACCGATTGTGGATTGGTTAAGTCGTCTCATGTGTGTCTGCATAATACAAAAGAAATAGCTATTGAAAGTTAACTTCTTGCCAAATATTTAAAAATAGGTGGAAAAAAAGCAGGCCTTATGAATGAAAATTGTACCAACTTTGTCTCAGTGTATGCTTATATTAGAACCAAGTGCAGTGTAATATGTAAGAAATCTTCTGTGTATATATCATGCCAAAAAAACTAAATGCCCCCTTTAATAAATGCATGGGGAAAATTCTGTTGCAGAATTCTGCATATTCAGAAACTGTCACATGAAGCCCTAATTCAATCTGAAGAGACTGTTTAAAAATAACAGTACCTGCTGCAACAGTGCTGGAGTAGGCTGCTGAGGCGACTGCTCAGAAACCATAGTGATGTCATAGCCCACAACTCTTCCTTGTGTCACGTTTTCTGGTGGCTTCTCCCAGGAGACACGGAGAGAGCTCGGGGACAGTGGAGAGACCAAAGGGGGCCTCATGAGAACAGGAGCTGCCCAGGACAGAAACCACGACATCAAAACCAAGAAGCCAACCCCACATAGTGCCCACATATTCATGTGTTTATTCCAGTTTCTGAAATGGCTTCTTTTTAAAAATTAATTAATTAATTAATTAATTTATTTATTTATTTGGTATGGGATCTAGTTATGCAGCTCAGACTCATGGTGATCCTCAGCTTCGCCAGTGCTGGGATTACAGGTGTGCACCACCATGCCCAGTTTCAGTGGCTGGCGGAACACC